AACCTAAATCATCATATGTCAGCTATTTTTCTTCACTGACAGACAGACAAACAGACAGACAGATTATATCCCCCTTGAATCTGTTTTTCACCGTTTAAGGGGGTAGAGAGTAGGTGGGGGGTGGGAGTCTGGGGTATAAGAAACATTAAGAGACATCAAGGGATTCAATCTGCCGGCGGTTGTGTGGGGTACAAGAGCTTCCGGTATGTGAGGAACTTGGCACACAGTGAGGAGCTGCTTCATATAATGGTGCCCTGAGACAGTCCCATTGGAGGAGGAACCACCCAGGCTGTCTCACTCCTGCCACCAGACTAATAATTTCTGGTTATGTTATGTTATGTTAGATAAGCTTGTGTTAGGCTAGGATACGAGTTTATTTGCTATTGGACAAAAAAAAACTTAAAATTTTCTATTGGACAAAAGTACCTCCATAAAATTTTCTATTGGACTAAAATACCTCCAAAAAAATTTCTATTGGACAAAAATACCTCCAGGAAATTTCATATTGGGTTAGGGTGATTAGATTAAGTCAAGCTGTTCTTCGGGTGGTTAATCTTCAGGTAAAATCAGTTTGGGCTGAGGAGGAAAAAAATAAATCATCAGGTGACCTCGTTCATCTTTATTACATCACCAAGACGAGGAAGTTGGATGAGGTACTGGAGGCCTTGTGAGGTAGAGAGAGTGTCTGATAAGTATCGCCTCCCATCAAGTAGCGATGGCGGGCAGCACGTGTTGGCCCCCAGCCCTTGAAACCCCCTCCCTCTCCCCGTCTAGATCCTCCCTCCCTTCCCGTCTGGACCCTCCTCCCCCCGTCTGAACCCTCCTTCCTCCGTCTAAACCCTCCTCCCCTGTCTAGGTACCTCCCTCCCCCCTATAGGCCCGCCACCTCGCTCACCCAACCCACTTTTTTTCCCTTCCCCCACATCCAGGCGCGCACACACACACACACACACACACACACACACACACACACACACACACACACCAGAAAGCATCAGATTCTCCTTAATATTTCGTACGTTTAATTTTTTTTTTTTACCTCAGCTAGATTCTATTTCACATAATGTATTTGTAGCTACTGTAGTCTTGGTGTTGTTTTGACGTCATATTGGTTTTTCGTCGTTGGTCTGTCGTTCTGGTTGCTTCAGTGATCCAGATGATGACCTTCCTATAGTTATTAGTTTAAGGGAAAGTAAACATATAGATCTGGGAATACAAACACAGGGATAGGGAGATCGTGTTGTGCCAGCCATTATATAAAACATCTATAGCACTCATAAACAAAGGTTAATCTGGAGCTAAGGATTATATGGTGTATCTGGTAATGGATGTACTTACAGGAGTGTATTGAAACCCAAGGATGGTGATTGAACATTTTGAACCTAAGTTGGGGTCGGGTTCACACTTTCGGACGTTTGAACAACCACCAGATTCATACGTGGTATATCTGTTCACAGTTCAAAAGACGTGAATTATTCTCCTCCTGTGAGACCCAACGACACTTATTATAAGAGAAAACATTATTGGTAAAAAAATGCAAGTCTTTAACCCTTTGAGGACGATCTTACTAAAGGGTTAAGATATCGTACTCAGGGGTTAAGATATCGTACTGAGGGGGCTAAGATATCGTACTCAGGGGGTTAAGATATCGTACTCAGGGGTTAGGATGTTGTACTCAGGGGGCTAAGATATCGTACTAAGGGGGCTAAGATATCGTACTAAGGGGGCTAAGATATCGTACTCAGGGGGTTACGATATCGTACTCAGGGGTTAAGATGTTGTACTCAGGGGGCTAAGATATCGTACTCAGGAGGCTAAGATATCGTACTCAAGGGGTTAAATCAAGGACTAATCACTTGAACTATATAAACAATACAGAATTTTGGAACGATTTTTTTTTATAGAGAGAGAGAGAGAGAGACTCACTCACTCGTCTTCTAAAAATACAAATTAAAGTTAAGAAAAATGCAAATGGGCGGGAGAATTGTTTCCCTAATGAAACCTGGCATGCAACGTCATTTAAAAACCCAAACTGAATTAAAAGATGAGGGTGTGTGTGTGTGTGTGTGTGTGTGGTCGCTTCGGTCATCCATCATGTACCGTGCACACATCCTGTCGTCTCATGGTTATCATTCGAGTATTTTCCCTGGTGCGTGTGTGTATGTGGTGCAAAAAGTTTTACCCAGAGCGAACAGGTAAAGTATAGGTTTCACGGGTATGTAGTACAAGCGTGTTGAACAAGCTGGGACGTAGTGTGTGTGTGTGTGTGTGTGTGTGTGTGTGTGTGTGTGTGTTTTAAGACGGTCACGATGTGGTGATAATGCAGCTCGGGTTCACTACACTGCCCCAACACACGCACCCGTCACCCCCTCCACCAATCACAGCTCTCCTTTCCACGGATGTTTCTCCCCATTGGGTCCCCAACCCCTTCATTACACGCATCTCCACCAATCAGGCAAGATGTTCTCTCACCAATCCGAGATCTTATGCCTGTCTCTCAGCCAATTAGAAATGAGTTTGTTAAGGCGTGCAATCTGTTTCTCGTTTTACCTGACAGGGTTGAATGAGTCGTCTACCAGAGCAGCATTATGTAGATCTTTGTGCCTTTTGTAGAAGAGGTTGGGTGTGGTAGAGGGAGGTAGGGGAGGGGGTTGAGGGAGGTGGGGGTGTGGTAGAGGGAGGTGGGGGAGGGATGGATGGAAGTGGGGGAGGAGTAGTGGGAGATGGGGGAGGGGTAGAGGAAGTTGAGGAAGTTGGGGGAGTGGTAGAGGGAGTCGGGGAGTAGTAGATGAAGATGGAGGAGGAGTAGATGAAGATGGAGGAGGGGGTGAAGGTAGACTAACTCACTCAGGCACAGAAGGAAGTTTACTGTATACCTTCAAGTCTAATGAAATCTAGTTTACCTTGATCTAACTGTCTGGCTGGAGGTCCGGATTCACTAAGCTTCGTACGGTAAACATTCCTCGTAAGTGAAGATCCTGAATTAAGCTAAAACACGAAACTAACATCCAATATGGCGTCAGAAATACACCAAGACTCTACCTGAACTAGATGATACGTTCCCTATAGCATGAGGTAGCGACAAAATACACACAAGCAGTCTGTATGTATGTATGTATGTATGTATGTATGTATGTATGTATGTATGTATGTATGTCCGGTATTTGGACCCAACAGCCTTGTAACCATAAAACTTCCTGGCGAGGTGAAATCTGTACCGTTAACAGGGCTAGTAAGCAACAGGGGTCCCGTTTATCCACCTTCTGGAATTAAAAACAAAAAAAATCTGAAACTTGAACTTGAAGTAGTGTGTGTGTGTGTGTGTGTGTGTGTTTGTGTGTGTGTGTGTGAGAGAGGAATTTTGTCAGGAGTTTGCTGTGCCTTAAAGGTCTTGTCTAGGTGGTACTTTGTGAAGGCGGAAAGTGATGCTGGTGGTTAAGACAGGTCCATTAAGACTCGGCTTACGTTAGTAGGTGGTGGTGGGTGGGTAGTGGGGATGGTGGTGGCGACAGGTGACTCTTGCAAACCCCCCCACCTCGCTGATTCACTGACAGGAAACCCCACATGACCGCCACCCCTTAAGAAGTCAGCTCCTGGGGTCAGCAAGATTCCACCAGAGGTCAGTCTGAGGTCAGCGGGGGAGGGGGTCAGCTTGAGAAGGTCACACATTAGGCCGCAGTAACTGGAGATGACTAACGCCAATCTCTGACTCGTCTGAACCATATTGTGTACACGAGACTTGGCCTTGGTTGTGTACACGAGACTTGACCTTGGTTGTGTACACGAGACTTGGCTTTGGTTGTGTACACGAGACTTGGCCTTGGTTGTGTACACGAGACTTGGCCTTGGTTATGTACACGAGACTTGGCCTTGGTTGTGTACACGAGACTTGGCCTTGGTTGTGTACACGAGACTTGGCCTTGGTTGTGTATACGAGACTTGGCCTTGGTTGTGTACACGAGACTTGGCCTTGGTTGTGTACACTTGGCCTTGGTTAGGACTTGGCCTTGTTTTGTACACGAGACTTGGCCTTGGTTGTGTACGAGACTTGCCTTGGTTGTGTACACGAGACTTGACCTTGGTTGTGTACACGAGACTTGACCTTGGTTGTGTACACGAGACTTGGCCTTGGTTGTGTACACGAGACTTGGCCTTGGTTGTGTACACGAGACTTGGCCTTGGTTATGTACACGAGACTTGACCTTGGTTGTGTACACGAGACTTGGCCTTGGTTGTGTACACGAGACTTGGCCTTGGTTATGTACACGAGACTTGGCCTTGGTTGTGTACACGAGACTTGGCCTTGGTTGTGTACACGAGACTTGACCTTGGTTGTGTACACGAGACTTGGCCTTGGTTGTGTACACGAGACTTGGCCTTGGTTGTGTACACGAGACTTGACCTTGGCTACCGGTGCCCCCTTCACGGACGAACCTGATCCTGGCCACACTGTTATGTAAACTTTGCCTCGACTTGCAATAAACTGAAGTCTGGCGTCACTGAGGACATCTTGAGGAAGGATAGAAAGGGTCGCTTAATCTTCCTTTCTTCCTTCTCCTTGATCTCTTTCATCCTCCTCCTCCTCCTTGATTTCCTTCCTCCTCCTCCTTGATCATCTTCTTCCTCCTTGATCTCCTTCATCCTCCTCCTCCAACTCCAACTCGTCGTCAAACTGGTTCTTCTCCTCCCTCCTTTTGGTGGGGTGGGAGTTATCGTGAAGTGTTGTGTCGGAGGCTGAAACCAATAGCGGCTCCTCTTCAGTATTCATCCAATATATATCTGTTCTCTCTCTCTCTCTCTCTCTCTCTCGTCAATAGAGTTGTAGAAAATGTTACTTTGATCTGTTTTAACAAGTCGCCATATGAGATTTGATACAACCTGTGTTTGTTTTGAGGTTTGTGTCACTTATGCCTTGTGTGTGTGTGTGTGTGTTGAGGCGACCTAAAATGTGACCTTATATGACCTAACATGACCTCTCTCTCTCTCTCTCTCTCCTACAGGTGAGACTCAGTACTTCACCTTCGAGAACACGGAACCTGACGTCACTAAGATCGCTCTCTCCTTCTACTCCGGCCTCTTCGCGTACAACGGATGGTGAGTGTTGTCCTGCTACTGTGTGTGTGCTTGTCGCGGGGGTGCTTTAGTGTTTAATTGTAACTATTTTTAGTACTATTACTACTACTAATAATAGTTGGTGTAATTGTAGTAATGGTGGTAGTGTATTTATATTCGTTATTTATTTTTGGGGGGCCGTTATTATTTATGAATGTTATTATTATCTCGTTATCTCGTTTTTTATCTCCTCCCCCCTTCCCTCTTTCTCCTCTTCTCTCTTATCCCCTAACTTCATTTTCCCTCCCCTCCCTACACCACATCCCCGGGTCAACAGCCAATATCTGGGGGTGAATGTGAGTATTTTTAGGCAGCTGAGGATCGGTTTCCAGCCATGGCTCACAAAAGACGCCATCGTCCATCCCGGCCAGAGTATTCCTCAAGGCTTCGTGCGTTTTCCCCTTCACTGGCGACGTGAACTCCAGCGAGACCTTGACTCCCGTGAAGTTAAACTCGAAATAAACTATTGTAATGTTGTTGAATTTACACGTAAAGTCTTTGTAAATAACTAGATGAGGTTTTGATTTATGTTTAGGTAATGGGAGAGTGTTTTTGAGGAGCGAATTGTGGAAAATGTGGACCTTTAGCGGGCCGTCGTTGTTGTTGCCGCAGCCTCTCACTCTCCAGTTATCACCACCCACTCACGGCTGGCTGATGGCAACACTTTTTTGTATTATTGTTTTTTCTTTTTTCTTTTTATTATTATTATTATTATTATTTATCATCATCATCATCATCATCACCACCACCATCATCGTGTCTCCCCAGGACGTAGAATGGAAAGTCGCTTGCCACTTTTTTCCCGTCTATAAATAACAGATAGTAATCTCTGTTATGGCGCGGAAGGTAGTACAAGTACATACAGGTCGTGGCAGAAAATCATTGGAACTGTTTATGTAATGGATGTTCTTTTAAAGGGTAGACATTGTTAAAAGATCATGTTGTTATTGATGTCGGTGTTAAATTTTCCAGGAGGAATTAGATATGAAATATGTAAGATATCAACTGGAAACTAGAACACACACACACACACACACACACACACACACACACACACGTACGGTTAAGCACGAACAAGGCCTCTGGTTAGGACAAAGTTTTAACAGTGAGAGGAAAAAAGTGAGCTGCCAGAGTGAATGAAAACAGGTCGAGGTGTTGCTTGTGCCAAGTGGGTCAACCCTCCTTCCTTCTCTTCCTCCTGCCTTTACTGCTTTCCTCCTTTCCCTCACTGTCCTTCCTCCCTCCCTCCCTTCTCCCTACTGTCCTCCCTCCCTCCTCTCCCTCTACTGTCCTTCCTCCCTCCCTCTCCCTCTACTGTCCTTCCTCCCTCCCTCTCCCTCTACTGTCCTTCCTCCTCCCTCTCCCCTACTGTCCTTCCTCCTCCCTCTCCCCCTACTGTCCTTCCTCCCTCTCCCCCTACTGTCCTTCCTCCCTCCCCTCCCCCTACTGTCCTTCCTCCCTTCCCCTACTGTCCTTCCTCCTTCCCCTCCTGTCCTTCCCTCCCTCCCCTGTCCTTCCTCCCTCCCCCTACTGTCCTTCCTCCCTCTCTCTTGTCCTTACTGCCTTCCTGCCTTCCCTTACTACCTCTTCCCCTCCCTCCTTCCCTCCCCAATCATCTACCCTCCCTCTCCTTCCCTACAACAACAACACAACTGGCCTTGTTTTGGTGTCAGGAGACCAGCAACTAGCCCGAGGTCACTTACTGAATTAGTCGGACAAAATTGAAAACAGCAATGTGTAACTGGGGGAGTGAATTTGTTGTTATTGTTGTTTTTTATTAAAGTTTATTTTACTATTATTATTATTATTGTTAATTTTTGTTGATATTTTTGCCATTATTATTGTTTTTTGTTTTGTTTTTTTACACCCATTAATATAGTTTTTTGTTTAAGCAATTTTATTTTTTGTTTATATTTTTTGTTAATTTTGATTATAAGACAGTCAGTTTTTTTCTTTATGATGTGGGACCCTCACACTCCTCTTCACAAATAGTAATGCTGATAATAATAATAATAACGACAACAACAACGACAATAGTTTTGATGAAGTTAAATTAAGGATGAAAATACGAACAACAATAACTACTACTACTACAATAATAATAAAGATAATATGAATAATAAACGTATACAGATCACTAAATATAAAATAGAGATAAACAGACAGACAGGGGCAACAGAGTAAAGCCCCACCCCACCTTACCCTGCCCTACCCCACCTTACCCCACCCCGCCCTACCCCACCCCGCCCTACCCCACCTTACCCCACCCCGCCCTACCCACCTTACCCCCCACCGCCCTACCCCACCCCGCCCTACCCCACCCCACCCCGTCCCTTAATTAGTGTATTGAAGACAAGTGTGTGTGATGGAGCGTCTGAGCCGAGCCAACACCTGGGGACGCCAGGGTCCAGGTGTTGCGTGTGTTTTGTTCCTGGGACACCTGTCTGGGGGAGGGGGCAGAATGAGGAGGGCAGGTGAGGAGGGACAGGTGATGGTGAGAGGAGGGCAGGTGATGCGTTAGAGGAGGGCAGGTGATGCGTGAGAGGAGGGGGCAGGAGATGGGTGAAAGGAAAGGGGGGGGGGAGATGAGGAAATGGGAGATTGGAAGATGATGAGGGAGGAGAGAGAAATGGAGAAGTAGAAGAGAATATGATGGAGAGAGAGAAAGAGATGAACAGTAAAGTGAGCGAAATAAACATGATGAGAGAAACATAGATAAAGATGAGGAAATGGAGAAAAATGTTAGAAATGAGGAGAGAGAAAGAAAGATAAGAAATGGTAAAAAAAATGGGGGAAATGAGAGAGAGAAGAGGGAGTTGCTGCGATTCATTATTTTACAGTTGACTTATGTACTTAAAGATGGCGGCTGTCTCTCACTATGACTCTACTATGACCACAATTTAAGGTCTTTATCAACACTCGTGGTATAGATTTCTGTGAGCGCCAGTCTCCAGGGGCCTTGTGAGCGCCAGTCTCCAGGAACAGTGAGCCCCAGCTTCATGGAGACTTAGGAGACGTCCAGGACCTTGTGTAATGCACCGTGGAGACCAAAGGTGATACTGACCTGATGGAGACAGACTGGTCTCATAGGAAGAGGTCTCAGGTCAAATGGATCCCAGTCCTAATAGACCCTAACCTAATAGACCCCAACTTAACCTACACTGATTATTATGAAGGATTCCATTAATAATGAGACCGATTCTTAGAGGGCTTAGTGAGGTTAGGTCTGGGGTCTAGTAGGTCTGGGGTCTGGTAGGTCTGGGGTCTGGTAGGTCTGGGGTCTGGTAGGACTGGGGTCTGGTAGGACTGGGGTCTGGTAGGACTGGGGTCTAGTAGGACTGGGGTCTGGTAGGCTGAGGGTGAACTATGGTGTGAAGCCCTTTATCACATATAACTAAGACACTTGGGAAAATTTATAAATGATAGATAAATCGAAGAATAGATGTTTGAAATTTATTTTATTTATTTATTTATTTACTAACTTACGGGCATTATCCCACCCGGGCACAGGTCACTGACCCACATCGGGGCCTGGGGGATATAATAATAATAATAATAAATGAAAAAAACAAAAGTGATAAACAATATATGTACAGTATGTTATGTTGTTAATAGTAAGAGAAACAATTGAGACCCTGCAATTGTGTGTAAATGAGGCAGAAAGTCAGATCAGCAACCTGGGACTTGGTCACAATTTTCGTGATGCCATATGGCAGCAGGGTCTACCATAGACAACACATTATGCTTCTAGTATCTTCCCAGAATAAATGATGTGAAAAATAAGAATGAACGAAGCAAAAAATAAAGGAAAATGAAAGAAACGAAAAAGAAAGAATGAAAGAAGCTAACAAATAATAAAAGCTGCTAATAGAGTCCTCTGATATGCTTAAAAATCCTATCTCTGTAAACAACTCTCCCTGAAGTGAACGAAGTACCAGGAGTGCGTCACAGGACCACACACACACATTGTTATCTTCATCTAGCTTCTGTCTTGTGAAATGAAAACTATTACCATGAAAGGTTGTCGGGAGACGGCTGTGAATTAATGTGCCAGGTTGCCAGGTGGATTTAAATCTTGCTGGCCAGACTTGAGTAAACAAATCAAACAGATATATTCAGTGGCGTAGGGATCCCGTGACGTGTATGCCTTGGGTATATGTAAACGGTGAATTACGATCATTATACACTTTTTGTCCTCGGATCATTTATACATATAAGGCCTGGGTAGATTATTATACACCCTTTGTCCTCAGTAGATAATTATAGACTAGTCCTCGGTAGGTTATTATACACCCTTTGTCCTCAGTAGATTATTATACACTAGTCCTCAGTCGTTCATTATACACCTTTTGTCCTCAGTATATCATTATACACCTTAAGACCCTCAACCCCCACACGGTAGCTGATAAAAACGTGTAAAAATATTTGTTTATCAGCTGTACATCAACAACATGTGATAAATAAGAGCCTTTTATGAGTGTTGGAGGTGGCATGTACCTCCCTGTGTCCCTGTCTCACCTCAGAGCTACAGGAGGAAGAAGAGGAGGAGAGGGAGTTGAAGGAGGGGGAAGAGAAGGAGCTGAAGGAGAAGGAGGGGGAAGAGAAGGAGCTGAAGGAGAAGGAGGGGGAAGAGAAGGAGCTGAAGGAGAAGGAGGAAGAGAAGGAGCTGAAGGAGGGAGGGAAGAGAAGAACTGAAGGAGAAGGAGGGGGAAGGGGAGCTGAAGGAGGGAGGAAGAGGGCTGGCAGAAGGGAGAAGGAGGGGAAGAGAAGGGCTGAGAAGGGAGGAGGGGGGAAGAGAGAAGAACTGAAGGAGAAGGAGGGGAAGGAGGGAGCTGAAGGGAGGAGAAGGAGGGAGCTGAAGGAGGAGGGGGAGAGAAGAGGGCTGAAGGAGGAGGGGGAAGAGAAGAACTGAAGGGGAGAGGAGGGAAGAGAGGGGCTGAAGAAGGAGGCTGAAGGAGGAGGGGGAAGAGAAGGAGCTGAAG